TTTTTGAAATCAGTAAGGAAAAGTGGACAAAACACAAACATAAATGATCAATAATGTAGTTAACCATAAGTTAAATTATAATAAAAACAATTGTTCATTAATAATATTTTCGTATATGGAATAAAATTCTTAAATACTTTTTAATGTGTCATCTGTATAATGTTATTTGAATATATAAATCTTGAATTAAGCAACTAATTACCTGAATTTTCTAATCCGATCCTTTTATTTTTAGTAACATATTATTATGATATAAAAAGATGCATGATAATGAACTGTAATAAACTTTCTTGTAATTTCAATAACAACAGTAAAAGAAATAGAGAAAGGGGAACAAAGAAAATAAAAAAGATTTCAGCAATGAACACTGAACTTAGAGAAGAAAGTAATCACGGCCAAAAGTTTAACAAAATAACATATCCAATCCTCAGGTCATTCTAACTTATTCATACTAATATTAATTTAATATAATTAAAATAAAGATTTCATAGCCTCCTTTGATTCTTGGTTCATAACATTACCCCGCCCCTAAACAGAAGCTTGTCCTCAAGGTTTCACATGGGATATCCTTTGGGTGATTGCTTCATATGTTGCTTTAAATATATGAAGCTGAACTCTGGATTATATCATATTAGTCACTTTTTCACCGGAAGATCAACATCCGTACAAGGAACCACTTAAAAAACGAAGCTAATATCATTGGTCTCAAAACTTCTAATGAGTTGGGGTCATACACTCTCCCATCAGCTGAAGTCTAAATTTGTAAGGGTCATCAAAATTAGCCAATACCTTCACACGTGTAAGTCCAAATAAATAATTTCCTTTGGTTTCTCTTAAGATTAAGAGTTGTAAGCATGAAACACCTAATAGATAACCCATTATATGCAACCCCAAAAGCTGTGATTTATAGTCATTATCAGCAACATGCAACACACACAACGTCAAGGAGAGTAATTCTGAATTTTTTATGGTTTGAAAATTAAATTCAAAGCTGTAGTTTTTGCACTCACTGTCATTGAAGAGATTCTTTGTGCTCATAATATATGTATTCTCAATCACCTTAGACGATTTCTCTTGTGCTTCAATATTCTGAATTTCAACATGCTTCTCTGTTCTCGCGATGGTTTTAGGCGAATCTACGATATTTGTTGTATCACTTGAAAATTCAACTCTTTCACTAGTTTGAATGGTTTAATCTCCGATTTTGTTGTCAAGAGCAATGGTGAAAATTCATCAAACATGTGGTATTCATTTTTACTTCAATTGTCACGATCAGAATCAATTGAGAAAGATCGGGGGTGAGGGAAGATATTGCCCCGCAACTCCATTTCTGAGGAAACAAATCGCTTTCCAACGACATCAATTAATTTGTTACATCCGTCCAATTATCGCCGTTGTTGCATCTACCGAAACTATTTCTTAACTTCCCTTCTCATCCGAATAGACGTCATGGTTACCCGATGATGTTCCTCTGTCCCACAGAATTCAAAGAAATCATAGTCTGTGGCAATCCATTCTTCTAGGTCTTTCCCTGTAAAAGATGGAAGCTCTACATACACTGGCTTAGGAGTAGAAAGAAAAGAATATATAGAACATCTTTAACCCTTGTATTTCCTAGATTTAGCGTTTTTTTCTTCCGTTTCCTCAACATTGCTCTGTGATTTATTGATCCAACTCGTCTGGGCAGTCAATACTTTGAGTTAGTTGGCCACATCCTGCAAGGTCCTTGGATTCGCCTCAGTTGTTCGTTTCTGCTCCACGAAGATGGATTGAAGTGAGATCAGTAACTATTCAATTTACAAACTAGATTCCTGCAATCTCCGAATAACTCTGTTTCCGTCGTCATTAACTCTCGATAAAAGCACCAATGTAATGAACGCTGAAAGTAGACATAACTAAAGGTTTAACAAAATAACTCATCCCATCCTTAGATCATTATAACTTATTTATACTAATATTTCTGTACTATAATTAAAATAAAATCCCCTAAATGATTCGATAATATCTTCAAATAATTCTATTGACACAATTATTTATAAACTCGTTCGATTCTTGGCTCATGAACTCAGAAATACGAACCAATAAATTCAGACATAAAAGAAAGAGTAAATTCCATCCGATACCACTTAGTTATGGATATTGGTTCAACAGCATCACCGTATTTTTTTTTTTATAAGATTTATATTTAATAATCTTTGAAACTATTATATTTTATTTATTAACGCCATATAATTTACATGCATCATCATTCATTTACAGTGACATGTCAAAAATTTAATTGGGTAAATTACACTATTGTCCTTTTTCATTTGACCAATGACGTTTAATCAATCTGACCACCAACTGTTTAAATGTTTCAATCAAATCACATGCCTTTAGCATCTAATGGAATAGGTGATGTGACAGTTAAAATATTTTAATATAATTACACAATTGGTCCATGTTACTTATATATTCTTTCAATTTAGTCCTAATTATAATAAATTAAAATAAATTTAACCCTTGAATCAAGATATGTCATGTGTTATTGATGACATATGTCATGACATGTGTCGTCATTCGATTGAGAACTAAATTTATTTTAATTTAATAGATTTATTTTACTTCAATCAGAGGGTGAAATGTTGAAAGAAAATAAATCAAAATACAAGGGGAAATCAAACCAAGGACCCTTTGGGTGATTTAGCAGGCATCAAACCATTGAGCAAAGACAATAATTTGGTATGATTTAGACAACAAATAATATATATATATATATATTGTATCTTAGCATATAAAAACTCTACTAAAATTCATAATATTTTATATTCTTGACTTTTAAAAATATATTTTATTTATCAATAATAGTTGGTCTAGTGGGATGAGACACTAGATTCCTTAAGTAAGGTCAGGAGTTTAAATCTTGGCGTTTGCGTATAGTGCATAATGGACTGGGAGGTTTGCCCCCATAATGGGTCTTTGCAAAACCTGATCTAGATTAGTCGTTCAGTATATTTTAACTTAAGAATAAAATATTTTTTAAAATTATTTTTTAAATTAAGATAAGAATAAAATAAAATTTTAAAGCTAAAATTAGAATAAAAAATAAATAAGTGAAGATAAGATTAAAATGTATATTTTTATATTAAAATATATATAATAAGTAAAGAGAAAAATAAAATATATTTGCAAAAGTTAAGAATATAAAATATTATGAATTTAAGTGTTTATATGCTATGATACATGATATATATTATTTGTTGTCTAAATTATACCAAGTGATTACCTTAGTTCAATGGTTTAGTGCCTGTTACCTCATCCAAGGGGTCCTTAGTTTGATTAATTTCTCACTGCCCCTTGTGTGTTGATTTATTTTCTTTTAACTAAAGGGTGACATGTGTCATCGTATGATTGAAGGAAAATAAATATATTAAATTAAAATAAATTTAATCTTTTAAATCGAATGATGACATTTCATAACATGTGTCACCTCCTGATTCGAGGGTTAAATTTATTTTAATTTATTAAAATTAGGATTAAAATGAAAGAATATATAAGTAATAGGGACCAATTATATAATTATATTAAAATGTTTTAACTGACACTTCACATAATCCGTTAAATGTTAACGGAAGATGACTTGATTGAAGCATTTATTAAGTTAAGTGATATGGTTGATTAAATCAAATGTCGATGGTCAAAATAAAATCTGATAATAATTAAGTGATAATCGGGGTAGTTTACCTAATTTAATTTGTAAACATCATCACCGTGTACAAATTTGAGCTTGTTTTCCACAAATATGCCGAATCTTGGGGCATAAATTATTTATATTAGCAAATTTTAAGGTGAAACTTGCATACATAAAACCAAAACCAACTTGTAATCCAGCTTTGTAGTGTATATATCAATAGTACAACTTTTTGTCACCCAACACAACCAGCCACCTAATGGTCGTTGAATAGTATAGTACTCATCCTCCATAGTTTTCATCACGGTGCCGACGCTCCAGAGATGGAGAAGCAGACAGACAGTTCACAGTTCATGGCAAAGGATTGAACTTCAACTTTAAGCCAATGGTCTCTCAAAGGAACAACCGCTCTTGTCACTGGTGGAACTAAAGGAATTGGGTAACCATCTCCTAACTCTCTCTCTCTCTATATATATATATGATGAGTGTTATACCCTTTCCTGTTTGATGAGTTGAAATATTTATGTGTCTGCAATTAATACTGGTAAACAGTGGTTATAGGTTGGCTATTGTGGAAGAACTGGCAGCGCTGGGGGCAACAGTTTACACGTGCTGTCGCAACCAAAATCAGCTCAATGAATGCTTGCAACAATGGAAGATTAAGGGTTTTCAAGTTTTTGGTTCGGTCTGCGATACAACCTCTCCAGCTGAAAGGGAAACTCTGATCAACAATGTTTCCTCCATGTTTGAGGCAAACTTAACATCCTTGTAAGCTAAATTCCTTGCACTTGGGCATATAAATACAAAGTTTTTTTTTCATGAGCTGAATTTTTGTAGATAAACAATGTTGGGACGAACATTTTGGAAACCAGCTGAGAAATATACAGTTAAAGAAGTGTCAACTCTGATGAGTACCAATTTCGAGTCGGCGTTCCACTTCTGCTAGCTTGCTCATCCCCTTCTCAGAGCATCGGGATCTGGAAGCATTGTTTTTGTTTCTTCTGTTTCTGGTGTGTTCTCCATCAATGTTGGATCTATGTATGGATCAACAAAGGTTAAATAGACTGACTAAAAATACATCCTAGTTGAATTAATACCCCGTATCTGTAATTAGAAATTTGTTTAAACAGGAACAATGAACTAATTGACAAAGGAACTGGCATGTGAATGGGCAAAAGACAACATCAGGACCAATTGTGTTGCTACATGGTTTATTAGAACCCCACTTACAGAACCAGTAATGTCTTAATTATTCACCTTACATACATATGGTATAAGAAGTGTTTTTTGTTTGCAGGTTCTGAGTAGCAGTAAGTTCATGGAAGCAGTCATCTCTCGGACACCAATGGGGAGACTTGGAGAACCAGAAGAGGTTGCCCGTTTGGTAGCACTCCTTTGCCTTCCAGCATCATCTTTCATAACGGGACAAATTATCTGTGCTGATGGTGGGTTGACAGCAAATGGGGTTTTCTTCCCAAGATCAGACCTTTGAAAACTAAACAAGATAATTAAACACAGCTGGTTGCTGGGTTTTGTTAATGCTGTTTCATCCTCGTCGAATAAAATAAAAAAATTAACGACAGATTTTTTCCAACTTGACAGGTAACATCTTTATTAGAATGTTGATTACAAGAGGTTTGAAGAATTTTACAAGGGCACCTGTTAATTTGGATGTTCAACTATCGTTAAAGAAAAAAAAGATAAGAATAGTTCTGAGCCCAACTTGTACGAGATGTGCTTCTATATTTAGCCGATCTGCTTCTATAAAAAAGGAACATACCAAAATTTGAAAAATTTTTCTTTGGTAAAATGATAAAACTACCCTATGGTCCCTCCAAAAATTATAATTTAATGTTGACCCCTAATTTATCTGCCGACTTCGGCCCTGCACATCATGAACACCATGCATATGTTTGAGTACTTTAAATAATGTGTTTGGTCTACCCCCGGGAAGAAGAAAGAATTCTGGTGACTGTGAATCTTATTTGGAAATTAAAACAAAAAGTATTACACGTTCAAAGGTACACGAAAACAAGTAATCTCAATCAACTCAAGACACCAAAAAAGGAAAATATAGAGATGAACAAGATCAAACAAAACAAGAACAACTCGTCCATCTCTTTGCATACAAGATAAAAAGAAAGATTATGAAATCAATATGACAAGAAAAAGGCCAAGAACCCGAACCGGCTGTTTTTTCAAATGGTGTCGGGCTACAGCCGCCGCCGCCGCTTCATTCCACGGTGGAGGCATTTGCTGTAGTAGCACCCCCTGCTACTGCAGCAGTCATTCCAGCATCATCGACATCTCCCTTCTTTTTCCCCCTTTTATCAGATTTTTCCTGGGATTTTGCTTTGTTAGAAGAACTATCTGAATCTTCTTGCTTGGCTCCGTTCTTTGATCCTGGGATGCAAAAACAAAAGCTCCTGAATTTCATGGCTGAAAAGCAGAGAAAAAACCCCCTCAAAGAAGTATACTCCAGCAAGAAAAAGAATTAGCTAGTGGCAAAACACCAAATCATTTATTTATTTAGCTTTAGTTCCTTGGGCGACAAGTATAAAGACAAAGCCCCAGATGCCAAAAGTGGGTGTTTTATACGACACACATTGAAAAACAATCAAAATAGCTAAGTTGTGTAAATGAGATTGATTCAAGTGATAAAGTAGCTTGATATCACTTAACCTTTAGTGTATACAGAAAATCTTTGTCGAGAGATTCATCCATCAAAATCATGTGTGTGCGACATGTATTCAATCCGAATTAGTCAAGACGAAGTCAGATAACCTAAAGATTAACCAAAAAAATAGCTAAGCTGTAAAGCTCGAGAAATTGGGATGTCGTATCATTCAATTATAAAGGTGAAGATTCCTTTTCTAAGTTAAATCATTAACAATATTCTCCAAAATGAGGAGACTAATTCAAACTTTAAACTTATTACATTAATTAATATCTTCTTTGAAGTTATTAATGGAACATTTTACACTGTGCTGTGGGCTTATATCACGGGAAATTAACTATTGATGATTGGCAGAACGCACATGTAGTGCAAATACATGAACTGAGAATGAAGTTGCATCAATAATTTCATATAGACAGGCTGTTGGCAAATCATCATAATCCATCATTTTGTTCCTACCTAAAATGATTTGGCAAATCATCATTTTCTGTAATTATTCTGGGTTTTCTGCCCCGACATCCGAAAAGCTTTGCTGGAAATACGCTACAAACAACATACACCTGTATAAATCCAGTTTGGAATCAGCAAAGCAAGACAAATCCAGAATGTAGTCGGACAGAAAAATCCATGTCTGTTCAAATATAGTACACGAGAAACCATGCAGCAGGACAGCACATATCCGTCATCAGAGTAAACTGTTGTGGGATGGTTAATCACACCCAAGAAATCGATATTTATGGCCCCAATACAGAACTGCACGGAAAACAAACTAATGTCACGTAAAGTTTTCGGCCTTAACAAGTACATAGAATGCAAACTAGGCCACATGTAGTAATACAAGGATGTGAATTTTCACTGGCTCATACACTCCTAAAAGCTTGTAAACTAATAGAGGCTTACAATCCTCTCCCAAGAAGTTGGGACGAGGACCGTACCGTGCCAGGCATCGCGAAGGAATGGAGCTCAAAAAATAATAATAATAATACGGGCTTACAAAGTTGTATAATTTGGCATATCGCCGGACTGAAACTCCACATCATCGGGCAAATCAGGCAACTCAGAAATGATACGGCCAGAGCTATAAATTTGACAAGGAAACTTCATGTGGCAAAATCACTAGTGTAGTTAGTGTCAAATATTAATATGATACCAAGAAATCGATAGTTTCCTTGTCAAATTTATAATATGTTGTTTATCTATATTATAAGTGTGATAAATCATATAAATAACTTCTTCCATTAACGCTACTAGATAATATTAAATATTAATAGAGAATAAATTATTTAAAACTTTTGCTTTTAACATATTTTTTCACATATCATCCAACGATGATTAATTAATAGTTTCAATATTTTTTTGTTAGAATTTATAAAAAATAATAATTCTTTTATTTTAGTTTATTTTGAGAAAATTTGAACAAAAAAATCATATAAATTATTGATTAAATATTATTGAATGATATATAGGATTATTTTAAATAAAAATAGCGATTTTATTGCATTCGTTATAATTATATAACAATACTTTTATAAATAACTTTATTTATCTAAAATTACCCAAACATATCCTTTAACATGAATCAACATTTCATCCAAAAGAAAGACATGTTAGTATACAATTGAAGTGTTAAATTTTTATTCAGGTACAATAAAGAACATGAAAAGGCATAAAACAAATATCTCCCATAATAGACATTAAATTTGAGATAAACCGTTCGAAACTTAATATTGTGAACATAACAAATTGGGTTGAAAAAAATACTCCTGTAACAAACTGCTGGCTGCAATATCCGATTCATATTACCTCTTACCCCATTACATATGGGAACAAGGGACAACCATTTTCATTATTTCCTCCAACTTATCTCCCTTTCCTATGATAAAACATAATAAAAGATTGACAATGCCTTGCTTTCTAAAACATGGGTGAAAAAGAAGAAGAAAAATCAAAGGATTTCAATGGTTGAGTTCGTGGTCAACCATGTTTATCTTTTTGATTTCGTATGGTTATAGAATAGCTTTTAACAGATAACCTGAACCCTTTCACGTAGGGTTTTGGGGGGGGGTGGTCATATTTCATTATCGCATTATCTTCAAGGAGCAGCGATATCAACATCAACATCCTAATCTTCCAACATTTCTCCTCAAATCAACAACTGAAACTGCAACAGATATGTCAGCATCAACAAGCACAACACGATATTCTCAAATGATAAAGAAGGCTAGTTAAAAACATGGTATAATCTGATAAACAACATAAATAGTGTAAAAAAAAGGGGGGGGATTATATGAACACAAGAAATGGTGCTTAAAGATAACAAATCAAAACACGGAGAATTACATAGGTGTAATAAAAGCGGGATTATAACTTACATCAGCTATTCAATGGAGGAACAGAGACAGTAGTAGTGTTCCCTCAAATGAACCTGGACCCTTTATCTGCTGGCTTAAGAATTTGGAAAGAGCACATTAGGCTTTGGTCAACGCTCATCATTGCCGCAGCATTATCAAATTCACCACAATAATTGGGAGCAGAAAATATTGTCACGAGTTGTCTGCCAGAAAAGAACTCATATCCATCTTCAACGACCTGAAACAGAAGCATTATGGTTAGTTGCTTTGCTTACAACACCCGCACACATAAAGAAGGAAGAAAAGAGCAAATAGCCCTAACCTGATGGGCACGGCAAACAAGGTCCATATCATTTTGCATTAAGAACTCGGAGACTCTATCTGGGCCAAAGGAGAAAGAGACTCCTCGATCATTCATACCCCACCCTTTTATATCCCTAGCAGGATCTGACCAAAGTAAATCACAAAGCAGACCAGAATCAGGAACATCAGTTGGACGGGTTAAACTCCTGATTTGATCCAAATTTGTCAGCTCAGGTGATAGGCCACCATGCATGCACAATATTTTGTCATCTATTACAGCAGCCACCGGAAGACAGTTGAAACACTCGGTAAAGATTTTCCAAAGTCTCACATTGAACCTTCGTTTACATTCATCATAAAATCCATAAATCCGGTTAATAGAAGCACATTCATGATTCCCTCTCAAAAGAAAAAAGTTATTAGGATATTTAATCTTATAGGCGAACAAAAGGCATATTGTTTCTAGACTCTGCTTGCCACGATCGACATAGTCCCCCAGGAATAAATAATTAGCATTAGAGGGGAAACCCCCATATTCAAAAAGCCTCAGAAGATCAGTGTACTGCCCATGAATGTCACCTGGAAGAAGAAAACAACAAAGATCACAGACAATTGAAACTTCTTTTTAAAAGTTTAGGACAATTGCCCAAAATTAGGAAGATAGATTTCCAGAATTGATGTTCAAAATAGCATGCGAATTATTCACTATGCTATATTGATACATCTGTCACTTCCACATAAATTGAATGCGAATTCCAGCATTTCTTTGGAGTTGCTTTATCAATGCATAATTGGAACAACCAAGTAATACCAAACAAATATTACTTCATCAGTTTTTGATACTATGGTGGAAGAAACATTTTAAAGAAAGTTAGGGTTTAAAAGAATTAAAAGAGAACAACCACCAAGACCTCAGTACTTAAAATGGATATTTAAAGTGAAAGGAGGTTTCAATAATGATAGGGCTCCTTACTTTTATGTGGTTCTATCATTTTCGTGATATTCTATATGTCCCGTCATGTAAAAATATACTAATATGTAGTTTCAACTTTCAACAATCAATATTATTTTTAGAGCACTCAATTGATGACTAATATAAATGATCCGGTTTCCACATCCATCATCCGCAACAGCTGATTTTTCTTCGCTTGAGCCTTTCCGGGCAATCCACGGCATCCTCAAGTAACCAAGATAAAATGAAGAAGATCAGCCAGTTTAAAACATTCTTGTATCTGAACTGTAGCTACCTGCCACCCCAACCCACCTATATCATTAAAATCCTACGAAAATCTAAGCATTCAATGCATAATAAACGGTTACAACTCACATCTTCAATCTGCCATCAAATTCAGCTTATATGCAGTTTCTGTGTCCATCAATAGCTAAGAAACCACCATTTTCAACCTTATTCTAAACTAAAATCAAACCCATGCTTTCATCTTACCACAAATTAAAAGAAAAGATCTGGATAAGATCCAATCATATCAAGAAGGCAAGAACACCACCCAAAACATCAATTTTGGATTAATACGGTTTATGCAAAGAAATAAAGAATATCCTCAATGCAGCTCCGGTGGACATACAGATTCATTCAAAAAGCTAAAACACACATTTCCTTCAAAATTTTCAAAATCTCCCTAATCTAATCAAATTTCCCAATGAAATAGATGAACATTTCTACAAAGTTTTCAACTTTTGCCTTATACATTAAAAATTCAAAAAAAACAAATCCTAAGATTAAACATACACAGACCCAAAACATCAATTTACATCATTTTTCGATTGAAAAAACAAAACAAAAACCAAAAATTAAATAAAGGCGTACCGCAGATCTTGATGGGAGCTTCAAGTTCAAGAAGATTAGGCTGTTGAAGAACGATTTCTCTTGCAACAGTGCAAAGCTGACGGATCTCACCTTCCAACAGCTGCACTTGCTTCCCTGGTCTCGCTTGTTTTAAATACAATAACCGATGTAGTATATCATCCAAAACCGCCGGTTCCATTGAAACAGATCCCATATTTTTGGGAAATTAATCAAAAAAAATCTCTACGAAGACAAGAACACAAGTCAAGTTCCTTATTATTCTCTCCTGGGTTTTTTCTAAAACTGAGTTTTGATTTGATTTTGGGAATTCCTTGAAAATGAAAGAGGCGAACGCCTGGCTTTTCTTTCTTAATTAGTACTACTTTTTTCACTGCCAATACGATATACATAAAAATGATCAAGTAACATTTCAAAATTTGTAATATAAGGGCGGCGGTGAGTTGCTAAGTGAAACTCCGATGTGGCGGAGAAGCCTAAAATTTTATATGTTTGGAAATGTTTTCGTCGCAGTTAGAGATGAACATTTGTCGGATTTCAATCCGATCCGGATCGGTTTTTATCCGATCCGGTTTTTTCTCATAGAAAAAACCGGTTTATAAAATAATCGGTTCGATTTTTAACCGGTTTGGAGGGTCGGATATCCTAACCGGTGTAACCGGTTTTGGTTTTAAAAAACCGGTTTTTTTAAAAAACCGGTTATAAAAAACCGATTTTAATATTCCAAATTACTCATAGGGAACCGATTCCCCCCAAGGGGTACCGATTCCTCACTGAATGGTTTGGCTCCGAGATTTCCAGAATGCTCGGAGGGAACCGATTCCCCCATAGGGGGTACCGATTCCCCCCTATTCAACGGTCGAAATATTTGAATTTTACATTTAGGGAACCGATTCCCTATGAGAGGGTACCGATTCCCCCACGCTCCAAGCATTTTTATTAAATGTTTTCACACTTAAACGGCTATATTATCTTCATTAATTATCACTAACGTTCAGAAGTGATTCAAGGTGTATTTAAGCAAGCTTAGAAGCCATTGATCAAAGACAAGAAACATCAAACAACTAGAATCAAGAGAGAATCAAAGAGAAAGCATCAAACCTCAAGTTCGATAAATTCAAATACTTAATTGAAATACTTAATTAACTCAACATAATTGAAATACTTAAATACTTCCAAGTTTGATAAATTCAAATACTTAAAAACTTCCAAGTTCGATAAATTCAAATACTTAAAAACTTCAAGTTCGATAATTGAAACAAAGTTTACGATAATTGAAATAAAGTTATAAAATAAACTACATTGCCATCTCTTCTTCATCATCTTCGCCTTCTTCGTTTGGAGGGGATATTCCAAGTTCGACTTCTTCAATGTGTAAGTTTGCTTCCAAATCGGCATCAATTGCATCTTCTAGGGTGGTGATATGTTGCTTACGAGCCGCTCCATCCAAATAATCCTTTAAACAAATGCATACTTCTACCGACTCGGGACTTAGTCTTGATCTCCGTTGCGATATAACCCTGCCACTAACAGAAAAAGCGGATTCCGAAGCTACCGTAGAAGCTTGGACGGTTAGTAAATCACGGGCCATGGCGGCTAGAATCGGAAATTGTGCTTCCTTTTCTTTCCACCAAGCCAAAATATCCAACTTTCAAACTCTTCAAATGTCATTTTTGATAGAAAATCGCATGACATATAATTTCCCAACTCGCTACTTGGGGTGGTAGTACGTGATCGTTTGGATTGGGAATTTACAAGAGTGTTAAAAGATTCAAATTTATGTTACTTGGACGTCTACTAGATGATTCCGCATTCATTCTCATTTGATCGTGTATTACACTACTTGATCCGTATTTATTTAAATAAATTGCAAACATGTCTCGAAAACATTTGTTAAAATAATTTATTTGGTTTTGGACAAAGATGGGTTCATCATCGGTTAGATTAAAAGCAAACGCAATTTGTTCAATTAGTGTTTCAACCCCACCAACATTTAACGTTGGGTTTAAAGCGGCGGCACAAGTAAAAATGGGGGGAATCTCCTTAAAATATTTTAAAAGTTTTTCCTTCATTGCAAAACCAATTTCTTGAAAAACTTCGGTTTCAAATTCAAAGTCATTTAGTCGGGTAGCCAACAAAAATATTTGATTAAGAACCAACGGGCTAGTAGGGTAATAAACACCGGATAAAAAAGTTGTTGCATTTTTAAAAACCTCAAGCAAATCGGTTATTTTGGCTATAGTTTCCCAACTCGAATCCGGATAAATGTTTGGGACATGACCCCTCTCGAAAAGCCGATCGTGAAATGTTTGCAATGTTTCCCTTTGCCTTAAGGCAGTATGCATCATCATCCAAGTTGAGTTCCAACGAGTTTGACAATCCAAATTAGGACCCAAAGCTTTTTTATTAACGGACTTACAAAATCGTTTATAATCATTTAGTCTTTTGTTGTTGTTACAAAGAACCGATTTTATCATTGTTTTGAATTCTAATCTAATCGGCTCAATAACCTCCAAACCGGCTTGCACGGATAAATTAATTATGTGTGCAACGCAACGGGTATGAAAAAACGCACCGTCTAAAATCGGTGAAAGTAATATTTTCAATCTTGGAACCGCGTTTGTATTATTCGATGCATTATCAAAGGATATAGAAAAAACTTTATTTTCTAATTTATAAAGATAAATTACCCTTTTTAAAAGTGTAAATAAATTAACACAGGTATGCGGCTCACCGAATAATTCAAACGCGATTGTTCTTTTCATCATTTGCCAATTATCTTGATCTAACCAATGTGACGTAACGGCTAAAAAAGAATTTCCGGTATTATGAGGGGAACTCCAAACGTCACATGTAAGCGACACACCATAACGGTGTTCTTGGAATCCTAAAATCATTTTTTCCCTCGCCGTACGCCACATTTTTATAGCATCTCTTCTAAGGGTAGTACGACTTACTTGAGTATAACGTGGTTGCATTAGTTGTTGAATTGTTGTCGTGAAATCTTCATCATCAAAGTGGTCGAACGGCAATGCTTTTGTAATCACGAACTTTGTAAACGCTTCTCGTAATTTTTCGTTATCGTAAACAAAAATACCACCTTGCGGTGTAAGATTCGATTGACTAGGATCCGATCTTGAGCGAAGTGCCTTGCATGATTTTGTCAAATGGTTCTTCAACGTTGTGTTTCCTTCCGATGCAAGAAACTTTAGACAAAGTTTACAACGCGCCCTCCTCGAGCCATTTGACATCTCACATAAATCGTAGTGATCCCAAATGTCTTTGTTTCGAGTGTGTTCGATCACTCTCACGACTTCAAGGTTTCCCCCGACGGAAGATTCAGCCGTGTTACTCATGATGAACAAAAAATTACAAAAGTAAGATTTGAGAGATGTTTAAGTGTTGTGTAAATAAGATTTGAGGAATTTGTAATCAACCAAATACATCTCAACCTATTTATACATGTTTAGGGTGGTAAAATGGTAATTTTTTAAAGAAAAAAACGGTCAAAAACGGTCACAAAACCCCCCCAACGGCTATATTAACGGCTAGTTTTTTAAACCCAGACCGGTTTTTTTTTCCGGATAAAAACCGGTTTTTTAACCGATTTTTTTCAAACCGATTTTTTATCCGGTAAAAAAACTGGTCTAGGTTTTTTTCTCCAAACCGGTTAAAATAACCAGTTTAAAAAAATCCGATCCGGTTAAAAAAAACCGGTTTTTCCCAAAACCGATTTCGAATTTTTTTTCGGATATTCAGATATTCAGATTTTTTGTGCACCCCTAGTCGCAGTCAATAAATCCGCTATTCATTAGGCCTTCTGTAAAACTAAAAAGCAGGTGTTATTTATGATAAAATTTCGAAAAAGTTTATTGTTAGTTTGTTGAAATTATTTTGGAAACTTTTTATTAGGTCCGATACATTCTTTAAAAATGTCAGGTACCGGTTTAATAAAAATTAATCACTTGTTTAATTTCACAGAATGAATTATTTGCTTTATAATTATAGACAAATTCCCCATACTAATATCAATTTTATTTTTAAACGTTGGGTGATTTTTTATGGGCCATTTATTAATTTAACCGGAAACTAAAGAGTTGATTAAGCTATAAAAATGAATATAATTTATCTACTTAAAAACAACATTGACAACAGCCGAACAATAATTTGAGTGGATATAGCTAAGCTTTGTTCGATTTAGATTGGTCCTATTAAGGCGTAGCCTTCAAAATATGTTTTGGTACATTAAGATTGACATTTTATCAAACATTTAAAGTCCGGTTATCATAGGCATTAATCTATCAAGTATAGTTTATTTTCATCTCTTTTCTATTTATTTTTATAATTCATAATCTGATATTACTAAGCGTCTTAAGAAATTCGGATTCAAAATTTAAACGTAACTTTTTTTTTTCTTTTCATAATATATACCTTACAACTGCACTGACAGATAAAAATGGTGAGGTATTTGAGTCAAATGACTTGCGTGTGATCCTGTAACGCGCATGCTTATCGGGAGGCCACTTGGTTCAATTCTCCATCACCCTTACCTGTCAGATGAAATGGACAGCACGTTCAAGTTTGTTAAAACAACCCAACTGACTCATTAAATATCAATACTTGTACCTATCAATTCTCACGCCCCTAGACTTCAAATAAGTCGTATATGTTTTGAAATATAGGGAGACGCATGTTGAGAGAACCAATTCGGGTTCCTTTCTCATATCAGCTTCCCACTTAAAAATTCCAAATTACCACTTTGGAGGGAACACACTTTGTGCAAAGTAAAACCAGGCTCTTCCATTCAATTGTTACTAACAAATGTATGGTTGTTCAAAACATCACAAGCTTTTTTATCACAACTAAGTAAATGAATATGTATTCTACATCTACATGCGTGCGTGTCTCTCTCTCAGCCAAAAATTGACAAAAGCCAAATAAGGGTCTACTTCATAGCAAATATTTTTACCTTCTCAAATATATCCCGTCACCCTTTTAAGTAGAACAGCATCGCTTCTTAATGTTTCCCGATGTATCGTTGACATCAATGGTAGTTCCTTGGCCAGGAATTGCGGTACTAGCTGCTGCTTCCTGTGCTGCCAATGCCTTTTCGCTAATGATATGGTAGATTTCATTCAATACAGTATGGAATGCCTTCTCAATGTTGGTTGCTTCCAGTGCCGATGTCTCGAGAAAGGAAAGACCTTCCCCCTCGGCCAGAGCACGACCATCCTCCTCAGAAACAGCTCTGAGATGATTCAAGTCAGATTTATTTCCGGCCATCATGATGACAATGTTAGAATCAGCATGGTCCCTCAATTCGCGAAGCCATCTTTGAACATTATCAAAGGTTTGCCTCTTCGTTATGTCATAGACCAGAAGTGCACCAACAGCTCCCCTGTAGTAAGCACTCGTGATAGCTCGATATCTCTCCTGACCTGCCGTATCCCAAATCTGTGCCTTAACAGTCTTTCCCTCAACCTATATCAAGGAAAACAATAGCAAAATATGAACCAGCAAAAATGTATGCCACTGTATAACCATGAGTGCTAATTAACAAAGAACCCAAAGAAGGTTCTAATGAATATAACAAGGCAGGCTGGAATTGTTTTCAAAGCCAAATGCACAATCATGTCACACCAATAATATATATACACAAATACTTCCGATTAACTACAAATGAGAATAAGACATCATAAGAACCACTTGGATTAGTACAATAACGGAGAGAAAGAAAGATTGCAGACTAGATGCTTACTCGTTTTCTCACTAATAAAAAAGCCTTCTCGTCCTCCCGGCTTAGTTGCCTGGCTAAATAAATGATTTCGCTAGAGAGGGCAACTTTTAAGCTTACTATATATAAAAATATTTTACCCAAAATATTGGAAATTGATGATTGAAGTCGACAACCACTTCATTTAATATAATATTTGTTACGTCAATATTATCTTAACCGACCCTAAAGGATGGAAAATTTGTTATGAATCATAACACTTGATTAACAAATCTTTCATCCATCCAAAGAAGCAAACCAAAAGAGTGGTCCAAAGAACCCATTGAATATATAAAATCTCGAACACAACTTACATGTAATCTGTTCCTAAAAGCTGAAACGGAACAATCCCTAGGCTCAACCATTAGATTTTAAACTTTCAGTGTAAAAGTACAACTTAAATAAGCTTTGGATGATCACCACTATCCGGTAATATTTTCTCTCACCTTACTACAAAACATTCAAAATTAACTTCCAAATTACAATCATGGCACAGAAGACAGCGATCGGATTCGTCAGGCTATTTATTCAGATGACTTCCTTTTTACTAATCACAATCAACTTAAACATGCGAAAATTTCCGGAACTAAATCAGATCAGAATTACACACACACTTCAAAACATCAAAGGTGAATAAACCTTTCTTAAAACAAAACAATTTTAGCAGAATAAAAGAAAATGAACTAAAAAAACATAAATGAAAATGAATAAAATAGGAATCGGATGAATATATGATAAACCTGGAGGGTTCTAGTAGCGAACTCGACGCCGATAGTGGATTTAGATTCCAAACAAAACTCGTTTCTGGTGAACCTGGAGAGAATATTTGATTTTCCAACTCCAGAATCGCCTATCAACACAATCTTGAAAAGGTAATCGTACTCGTGATCTACTCTATGCGACATTTTACCTTCTTTTTTCTCTATATTTTTATCTCTTCTCTCAGACCTGGAAGATCCAAAAACCAATCAATTCCAAGAAATAAAACGGAGAACAGATAAAAATCTTGAAACGATTGAACTTACCCAAAGTGGATAGATCAAGAAGAGAAAATTATCAAAGAGAAATTCAGATAATTTTTGAGGAATTATAATGAAAATTTTTTGGGGTAAAAAGAAATGTATTGAAAAAAAAAGGTAGAAAAATCTAGCGGAAGAGGAGGGTCAGGCGCTTTCATTACGATATTCTTTATTTTAGGGTAAAATACGTATTTAGTACTTAAACTATCAGTTTTAGTCCTTTATAGTATCTAAAGTTTCATTTTTTAAAATCATACCTAAAATTTAATTTTTGTTTCATTTTAATACCCGCCGTTAAAAACTTTATTTTTTGTTTCATTTTAGTACCGTTCAAAATTTAACTTTAAGTTTTAAAATTTTTGAAAGTTTAGGTTCTAAAACAAACTAAAATTATTAGTTTATGTATTAAATGCGTTAAGTTTTGAATGATAGGATAATGAAATGAAATGAAAACTAAACATTAGGTATGATTTTGAAAAAATTAAAAGATTTTAGTACTAAAATGAATTAAAATTGATAATTTAGATACTAAATATGTAGTTTACTCTTTATTTTATATAGGTAATTGAGATTTTTGCCATTTTTACCTTCGAAACAATGTCACTGAAATGATAGTTTGATTAGAAAGAGAAATTTTATTTTCCTTTTATATGCGTTATTTATCATTTATAATGACAGATATAGATTTTTATTTTATTAATTGAGTTGTTATAATGTAATATATGTTTAAAAGGTAATATTTGAAATTTTATTATGATAGAATTTAAAATCTTTAGCGATAATAATCATTTCTTCTATTATTAAAATTGTTTGGTTCATACGATTTCAATTTGATTTTTAACTCCATTTTCAACTCTAGACCGAGAGTTAGGTAGCTAGCTGTTCTAATACTCGAAGCTTTTCCGTCTCAGAATCTTCTTTATTTATAAGAAGACCATTTCATTTCTTTTTTATAAGAAGATAATCGAATATATTTGTTTGTAAAGATACGACATAGTATTTTTTTTTAAAGAAAGTAGTTAGTAATAATTATGATAAATAATAATAATATAAATTCTATTGTAAATAAATTTTTATGTGCAAAATAATGAATTAGAATTTAATATTTATAAGGGTAAAGTAGAGATAAATTAATAAATAATTCAAATATGTTTATCATACAAATTTTAATTTTCCTAAAATATATTTAATATAGAAATAAAATTTTATTTAAAATATCAGTATAAGACTTTTTTCCTTTTCTATATCAACATTACCCAACATCAATGATATTTTATTACATATATCAACTTGCCTTGTCTGCAATGTGATAAAAGTTTTAATTGATATTATAAGATTTATTTCATCTTTTAATTGATATGTTTGAATTTTTCAAACTTTTCTTGTAATACCCCAAATTTTGATTAGTGACTAAAATATAAGTTTGGAAAGTTTAGTGGTTAAAGTATGAACTTTGAAAAGTTTAAAGACCAAAAGTTTAATTTTGAAAAGTTATATATTTTAACCCGTAAATGAACAGTTTGGCCTAAAACAATAATTTTTGTAGTAATCAGATTTTCGATACGAGATTTGTGTTAAAAGCAATAAAGCAATAAAATTCGGTATAGAAATCTGATAATCGGATCATACCAGAATACCATCAAATTTTGAAGGAAGCTAGATAAGTGTTGGAAATATTATTTTTATATTTTAGATCAGAGAAACTTAGCCATATCAGTGTAATTTTTCAGTTTTGGCCGAACAGTGGAAAATTTAGTGACTAAAATGCAATTTTCAAAAATTACATAGACAAAGTAGAAAGTCAAAGTCAAGTTAGTTCATCTTTGACTATGAAATATTTTAATGGAAGATATTGTAATGACAATTGGTAAATATCAAGTTTCATTAATGGTATTTTGGGGATTTCCCAATAATTAAATTTTAAATGCAATTATATTAGTTGAATGCCAAGTGTATTAGTTGTTAAATACTAGAATAATCAAGAAAATTGACATATTTTCAGCCATTTTTCAAGCTAGGCCGAACAACCATTGTTCTAAGGTAAGAAATTTTATTTTAAATTTTTGGAGCCATACATTTGATTTTTGGATTAAACTATTAGATAGGTGATTAATATACATGAAATTCTCTATCATTTGGTAAAAATATTACTCTGTGAAGATGTTTGTGTGTTGAGATTGAGAATTAGGGCTTTTGGATTTTGAAAATTTGATGGAAGTTTGTTATGTTTTTGGTGTTGGAGATTAATTCTAAAGCTCGTGTAATTATTAAAGTGATGTATAAAGCCTAGTAGTTGATTTGGCCATGTTAGGATTTTAAGGAAAGATTGAATTTTGATGCAATTTGATGTTGTGATGATTAGAATAGCATGAATTTGATACAAAGAAGTTGAATTCATACTTGAAATTGAACAAAAAGTTCACCCTAGCAAGTATGAAGCATTCGGCCATATGAAGAAATTAGGGGATATTATTGAAAAATTTCATATAATCTATAATTGATATTAGAAGTGTTTCATGTGATTTGGAGATCAATTTGGATCAATTTGGAAGATTAATTTAGAAAAAGGGCTAATATACAAGTTTTGATAATTTTGGGATATTATTGCAAGAATGTGAAGTTTGGGGTGTTCAATGATAATTTTAATATTGAAATGTGAATTTTAAGTTAGAAAGTTGATTGGAATCAAATTACAAGTTTGTTAAAGTTGAGGGTAGAATTTGAAAAGTCTTAATATTATAGGGACTTGATTGCAAGTTTATTAAATGTAGAAGTATCATCTGAGTAAATTATTGCAATGTTGGAAATTTTATCAGTAAGCTGATTTTTGGAGTTTGATTATAAGTTGGGAGCAACTTGCAAGTTTATTAAAGTAAAGAGTTGAATTTGAAAAGTCTAAGAAAGTTTAGGATGAATTTTCAAGCTTTTGAATGTTTAAGTGTTGATTTGGATAATTTAATAAGGTGCTGGAAATTTTAGAAATTTATATGGAATGATCATTATGAATTTAATGGAAAAGTTAAGGTGAATTCTAGAAAGAATTCATAAGTAGTGACTTGATTTTGTAATTAGCAAAAGTTGAAGGGTTTATTATGGAAATAAATAATTATGAAATCTAAAGAGTATGTTTGAATTTATGATGAAAGTATGATTTATTTTTATATTAATTTAGTATCGATTTTATTTTATAGACTTTTATATTATTAAGTTTAGATTGTGTTAGTATGATACTAACATATAGTTTAATATTTTATGCTATTATATGATGTTCTCAAATAAAAAAAATCTAGCGATCCAAACTAAGCGTGATTGTTTTTAATCGAGTCGAGTCAAAAAATTTCGAGTTATTCGAGTTGACGAGTCCTATTTTATAACTCGGATTTGATATGAAATTTTTTCGAGACGAGTCAATTCAAATTTTTGAGTTTCTATTTAAATTTAATTATAAATATTTATACTATTATAAATTATTTAATTCTAATTTAAATGATATTTTATAATCATATACAACATATATACATTTTTTGTAATTTCATATGAGATTTACATATACCATATAAAGTCGATGGACTCAACTCAAACTTCGACTTAAACTTGAAAATTAATCTATTAATTACTAAAAATTTCAAGTTATTTGTTGTATTTTACAACTCGATTTGAATTTAAATTTTTTTCATGTCGAGTTGAGTTTATGAAATTACAGTTCGAACTCAATTCGAGTCGAGTCGAGTTTTGTTCACCCCTAATCCAAACGAACCAAAAGGAAAGAGCACAATATGAGATTAGGATTGTCATATATAAAGGTTTAGTAGTGAGGATAATGTGAGTGCAGTTTATTTATTTAATTATTATAATCGAGAACGACTTGCGTTAAGTCAATATTGTATTATTATTTTCAAGTATGGTTTATAATTTATAATTATGGATTATTTCCATAATATTTTCATCAAAATTTATGAATGATTTAGAGTATGAACTGCTAAATTACTATTTTTATGATGATGTATTTTTAAGGTTATGATTTTTAAGACGTTAAAATAGTAAATGATTATATTATGATCTATAAGTCCATTGTATGTTGCATTGAGAATCGTAGGTACATTTGACATGCTATTAAGTTAAGTTCATTCAAGTTAAGTTATGGTACTTTTGTGTAAGTTATGATTCACATCGTTGATGCTTATGTTATGATTGCACTTAGAGTACATATTATGATCAGTTATAATTTGCATTGTGATGTGCCTAGTACGCACCTTATGTTTTGCTCACGTATCTTGTATTCTTTTAAATATACATTGGGGTTTGAAAATTAATTATGAAAATTATGAATATGTTAAATTGGCAGAAAATATGATATTATTATTAATCTGATATTGTTTATCATGAATATTTATTAGATCATGAAATAAGTTGAGTTTCAGGTAAGAGGAAGAAATCGGCTTAGATAAGTCGGTTTGAAAGTTTAATACTTTATTTAAATTAGTTTTAATGTTTTATTTTACTTATGATACTTTTATGTTTTATGTCACCTTAGCTTATAACTGCCTCACTAAGTTATATTTAGCGTGTGATGATTTTCATGCGTAGGTTCAAATAGATATACTGACGTGCAGTGAGTAGCCTCCCGAGCATCTTTTTGAAGATCATCTATTATCAGTATCAGTAAGGCATATTTGTTGTTACTTTTGACTAGTATTGTCATGTATATTTATGTTATCAATATGTTTTATCAATTTTATTTTAAATAGTATGTAATAGTAAATTAGGATCACTTTATTTTGACTAGATTAGCTATATTCGTATTTATGAATGAATAGTTTATCATGTTTAAAATAGTTTTAAAAAAATTAATAGTGTTTAGACAATATTATATAGTTTATAAAACAACACTAAACTACTTAATCGCTGCCTGAAAATGGATTTGTTTTTCAATGTTTAAATATTAATTTATTATTTTATGTGATTAAGAAAATAGTTTAAAGTTAAAATAGGAATGTTTTAAAAGGAAACAAAATTTTAAGCATTTATGTTATGTGAATGTTTATCAAATTGACATGACATTTTTAACTCGTATTTCGAGACATATCCGGGCATATGTGTTGCATTTCTTTACTTATATGGAACACCATTTCATTACTTAATCAGCCCTAAATCAAGAGTCAATCTTCCATAGCCAATATAAGATAGGGGAATATATGTATATATAAGATACCAACCTGTATGTGCATAGCCAACAAGGGCCAGTTACAGGTTCCATCTGTTTCTAAACATTTCCCACGTCCTCATACTAATCAAGAGTCGATCTTCCATAGCCGCTAATGATGATAGAAAGGCAAGTTCTTTCTTTGCAACTTAACTATGGTTTCATTTCATATGCAATGAACACGGTGACCCTTTGATTCTATATGATGAATGTAATCATTTATAATGTCGAATCGTCAATGCAGGCTTACGTTGTTTATATGGGATCGGCACCTGAGGATGAATATTTGACAACCTCGATGCAAACAAGTATACTTCAACAAGTTATCAAGCAAAGAGTTTCAATGGCAGATTCTTTGATCAGAAGTTACAGAAAGAGTTTCAATGGATTAGCTACAAAGCTAACCGATGAGGAGGCAGAAGAACTGGCTAGTAAGTGGTTTTCAACTTCTGTTATCAATGGAGATTATGGTTATAAATGATTGTGATACGGATCATTTTATTTTAAAACTGTACTGTGATGTATTCAGCCATGCAAGGAGTTGTCTCTGTTTTTCCTAACCGAATTCTCCACCTACAGACAAGAAGATCATGGGATTTTATGGGTTTTAGTGATACTGTTAGAAGATATCCGACCACCGAGAGCGACGTAATTATTGGTGTCATTGATGGTGGTATCTGGCCTGAGTTACCAAGCTTCAGTGATGAAGGTTTTGGTCCAGCTCCTAAGAAATGGAACGGTGCTTGCAGAGGTGGCAAAAATTTCACTTGTAACAAGTACATTACCCCCAGATTTCTCTCCTTTGTTTGTTGATAATTTCACATTTTGTGGCTTAATTTGCTATATATGATCTTACTGGACATGCTTCTACTGCAGAAAGATCATTGGCGCTCGGTTTTATACGTCATCGCCGGAGGCGTCTGCAAGAGATGAGGTAGGTCATGGAAGCCATACTGCGTCTACAGCTGCTGGGAATGCTGTAAAGAATGCTAGTTTCTTTGGACTTGGACAAGGTACAGCAAGAGGAGAGGTACCCTCTGCAAGGATTGCTGCATATAAAGTTTGTAGTCAGAAAGGTTGTGAGTCCGTGGATATCTTGGCAGCTTTCGACGATGCAATTGCCGATGGAGTTGATATTTTAACAGTGCCACTAGGATCATCTGATTCAAAGGACTTATTTGATGATGTCGTTGCATTCGGTTCTTTTCATGCGATGGTGAAAGGAATACTTACCGTTAATTCTGCAGGCAATAATGGTGCAGCAGGACCCCTTGCAGTTTCGAGTGTATCACCATGGATGCTTTCTGTTGCAGCAAGCACCACAGATCGCAAAATCTTAAGCAAGGTCGTCCTTGGGAACGGAAAGACCCTAGATGTAAGTATCGGAAACTTGATCG